TAGCAGGCGATTCCCGCAGTCGTGTCTCTCGCCAAAGCTCAAGGCGAGGTGATAAGGGATGGCTACACATTGGGGTAATATTGGGATAATGGAAAAGAAAATGGAAACTACTATAATGGGATATATAAGGATTCAAGGGACTATATTGGGGTAATATTGGGATAATGGAAAAGAAAATGGAAACTACTATAATGGGTTATATAAGGATTATAGGGACTATATTGGGGTAATATTGGGATAATGGAAAAGAAAATGGAAACTACTCTAGTATATTGGGGTACTATTTGGGGTAAGGGTCCTAGTGGGTTAGTGGATTTTAGGGTTTAGGATTCAGGGTTTTAGGCTTGGGATGTAGGTTTTATGGTTTAGGGTTGAGGATGTAGGGTTGAGGGGTTGGGATTTGGGGTATCGGTTTTAGGATCTAGAAGTCTTCTTCTTCTTCCATGCGCTCTAGACCGTCAAAGGCGCAGAAAAGAGTAAATTCACATGCTAACCTCACCAGCTGAGGGCCGCGTTTGCCAAAGCACGCAAGGCAACAGGGCATACAATCCACTTACTGCCCCGCAAATGGAACAGGAAGTCACCAAACTCATCCTCTCCTTGCGTGCAAACACGAACTATACAGGCGAACTCCTCAGTCAAGATTGTGCACTTAGTCGTAGACCAAGCAATCCAGGCTTTCCCACTGTTAGTTGAAGAATTTGTGGGCAAATTTCGAGTGCCACTGAACACTGGGACTCTCAGGGCGACTTCTCGCTCCAGCTATGCTAAGTCTAGGAGTCAGAGTTGAGCATTGAGGGTTTAAGGTCAGGGTTTAGGCTTTGGGTTGTAGGGTTTAGACATATCACCTCAACAATGCAGAATCAAATGGAGCAGAACCTGGCAAATAATGCCACTTTTCTATTTAGACCTTGGGGTCAACTGTTCATTGATTGCATTCAAAGGGTTAGACAAGTAGGTTTTAGCCTTCAAGGGTTGAAGCTATAAAGAAAAATCAAATGGAAAATCACATCGAAAACCAAACGGACAGTGACATGGAACCCCAAACCCTTGGTCTGGTAGTTTCGCAAAATAAGGAACCCCAATATAGATCCCAAAATAAGTACTATAATCCTTATTATAGGGACCCCAAAAGCATACCCCCAACTAGGGGCACCCCCGCCCCCCCCCCCCCATATGTTGGGCTTCCTGCTTGATAGCGGCTGTTCTTCTACCGATGTTGAATCTCATACATGTCATGGCTGCCCCTGCAAGGTTTTCACTACCGTCACGGTAATTACGACACGGTCCTTGTTCTTGGCCCCTGGACCCCCTAAATACTGAAGGATCAAAAACAAGGGATCTCCACTGAAGAAGACCCATGCAATCACACTCTGCAGCTTCTGATTTTGATCCCTGAGAGCGTCTGGGTCGTGAACATGCTGCAAATCCTAAACCTTAGCCCTAAACGTCGTGGTGATTGGCAAGGGAACGGAGGCATGGATTCCAGTCCATACAAACTCGTTCAGAAGAACCCCTATATCCTATGCTGTCCCAACGTTTTGGGATTTCGTCTGTGCCGCTATCTACTGCTTGCCTCTCTCCTCTCTCTCAATCTGCCCCTTTGTCTCTCGGTCTCTGTCTTCCTATCTCTCTCTCTATGGCTTATGCTTCTGCTGACCAACTCCTTCCGTCACAACAACTTCAATTCGCGGGAGTGTGCAGCAGGATTCAGCAAGCCGCCTGCCAGAAGTTGCCCATGTACTTTCATGTTCTTCTGCATGCTTGTCTGTGGGGTGCCGACTTTTGACACAAGCTGTTTCAATCGACCTTGATGGAATTACTGTGCTTGGCTTGCTGCTGTAGGCTTGGACAAGCACGTTTGCTTGCTGTATCAGTTTCTTGTCAGTTTGCTGCAAAAGGCAGCATGGCTTTTGATGTCTGCAATTCTGATTGCAATGTTGGTCATGGCAATGAATGTGTCATGCCTGCGTTGCTTTGGAACGTCTCTACATAGGATCAGCTGTGCCAGGCCAGCATCGCGAGCTAGCATCACGGAGGGTCTCGCTTGGCCCTCGGATGTCAGGTCCTTGTGACCACCAGCAGCTTCACCATCATCACCATCACCACCAGAAGCCTCAAGTGACATGATTGAATTCTTGTGCAGTTAAGCATCGACAGCTCGAATGGGAAATCCAACTTGGCAAGCTCTTCCAAAGAATTATAGTATATTTATACCTTATTTTTCTATATTATACTATATTATACTATATCTTTCTATATTATACTATATTATACTATATTTTCTATATTATACTATATTATACTATATTTTTTTTACATTAGACTATATTTTGCTAGGCGTTGAGGGTTTGGGGCCTCAAAGTTCCTGCGCTACCTTACGTTTGTTGGAAGCTTGGCTGTCCAATTGGCAGCCCGAAGGACAGCACGCAGCGATGCTTGCAGAGACGATGCCAGCAATTGGAGCCTGGGGCTTAGGGTTTTTGGGATGAGGGTTGAGGGTTTCAGCGGTTGAGGGCTTAGGGAGTCAAGGATGAGGTCTAGGGATTCCGGCGCCCTTTTTGGAGTCTTTGTTCTGGGTGTTCTGCGTGCTTGGAGTAGCCAACATTTAGTTGGGTTGAGATACAGTAAGGGGAGGGGTCCCTCATTTTTTTCACGCTACCCTACTGTCTTCTGAAAACGTAAATTCTCAGACCATGGCATTGCTTTAGAGGTTTGTAATCGAGAAGCAGCGAGTCTCAGGATATGACTCCTTACCATACTTGGGGCTGCAGGCAACTTGTTCTTCTTCATCCAACCTATGAAAGCAGAGTCGCCAAACTGGCCGCCATCCCGCTTGACACATGGCAGGAATCCCAAACTCTAAACAATGACCTGGGGTAGTCGCTTTCTGGTGTGATGGTGAATGCTTTGAACTATTAGTGCTGATCCGCTAGGGATACACAAACTTCGAAGAAGCCTGCAACTCCCCTATGCGGGCTGCCCCCTGTGAGAGAACAGCATACGGCCGTGCTATGATGTGCGACTGAGGCGGGAGTTGGAGCGGAACAAAGTCAACGTCACGCACTTCCTGGCCATCATCGAGCGCGGGGTGTCGAAGACTCAGTTCATTCGCATGGCCCTTTGAGGGTGTTTTGACCAAGGGAAATCGGAGCGAACATCAGCGGAGGGAACAAGATGCATCTGCACACCTCACTTTGCAAGCTTGTTGCTAGTTCATGGGTTGTTTTCAAAATTATGGGTCTCTTGGTTATAGATTGCATTCCGGCACCAAAATGGGTCCCTAATGTTGGCAACTACCCACATGGCCGAGAAGCTTGGCCTTCCCTATGAAGAGCATAGTCAGCAGCTGGCCGACTGTGTTTAGGGTTTAGGGTTGAGACTTTGGGGTTTAGGGTTTAGGGTCAGAGTGTTTTTGCAGAAGCAGGGTTGGTGTCTTGGAAGGCCTCACTAAGAACATCATCGTCTGGGCTGCAGGGCTGGAAAGACCTACCGTCTCCTATTGCTTTCAATCACCAGTACAGTGCAGAAAACACCAATCTTTTGTAATATACCTCCCTACTCTAAACCCCAAACGCTGTATATATCTATGGTGCATCCTGCCTGCCCTAAACCCAAAAGCCATACCTTTGCATCCCAAGTGTTTCGTATTACAGCTACCTTAACCCTAAATCCTAAACCCTAAACCCTAAACCCAGGTCAAGGGAGGGAGAGTCGAAATCTGTGGCGGAGCTTCTACGAGCTCTGCGCGAGAGGCCTGCCAGGGCTCCTACACATGTGAGCTATAGTCTCAACTCCCTGAAGGGGGGTTATATAGGGGATTATCTAGGGTTTGGGCTTTAGGGTTTAGGGTTTAGAGTCTAAACCCCCCTTTATAGGGGATTATCTAGGGTTTGGGCTTTAGGGCTTAGGGTTTAGAGTCTAAACTCCCTAAAGGGGGGGTTATATAGGGGATTATCTAGGGTTTGGGCTTTAGGGCTTAGGGCTTAGAGTCCAAACTCCCTAAAGGGGGGTTATATAGGGGATTATCTAGGGTTTGGGCTTTAGGGCTTAGGGTTTAGAGTCCAAACTCCTTAAGGGGGGGTTATGTA